GCGGCCCAGGCACTGAGCCCTGCGGGCCGGCCCTGCTGCCTGAGCAGAGAGACCCGGGCAGGGGGAGGCCTCCCGGGCAGAGGGGTGCCCCATGGCCTCAAGGGTGGGGGGCACAGGGGAGGCGTAGGCAGAGCAGGGGAGGGACAGACGCTCTTATGGACAAGGCAGACTTGGCCTCAGGAGCCCGAGGCCGAGCTCACGCACCTGCCGGCGCTTCTCGGGGCGCCTGGGCTGTGAGCGCCGGCCCGGGGCCATCGGGGCCTTGGACCCGCCGTCTCCAGCCCCAGTCGGTGCTGTCGCCGTGCTTCGAGGCTCTGCCTCTCCCCAGTGAGGAGGAGAACTCCTTTGCAGAGGAGCTCACGGAAGTACTGCTTAAAGGATTTACACATTTCTCTGTAGGTCTCTTTTCCAGCTGCACAAGCCGACCACTTACCAAATCCAACATTTTATTTCTTAGCAGGCAACGATGACGAGCAACACACAAAAATCTGATGAAAATAGAAGTAAATGTAAAAGCATGGAGGTGAGCGATACTGTGTGAGGAAGGGAGGGAGGACCTGGACCCTTCGGGCCCCAGGGGAGCAGCACAACCCGCCACCCCCATGTCCTCCTCTGGCGTTGCTAGCGGTTCCTGTCAGGGAGAGAGGGCAGAGAGCTCCGTGTCACCTTCCGTAGGTTAAGGGAAACGTTATGACTTTCTTGTATGAGGAGGCCGTAAAATTTCTCCTAGTGAAGATCAAAAAATCTGGGTATGCACTGCAACGCAGTTACGTAGGACTTCTTGAGTGTGAGCTGAAGTTCAGCAGCTTTTACAGATAGAAGGAAAAATCTCAAACTGGTGCTTCCCACCCACTCCCCTGGATGCTGTGCCTGCTCACCAGGGATGGCGGTGATGCTGTGAAGCCAACACTTGCACTTTCTCTGAAAACAGTCTCTCAAGATATATTTAAAATGCTTGTTTTTCTCAGTTAAACACTATCTGTGCTAAGCTTGTTTTAAGTTGTAGAATCTTTTTTTTTTTTTTTTTATGTGCTCTGTTATTAGAAGGAAGCTTCAGAAAATGCTCAGTTGTCCTCCCTTGACAAAACAGATCCAGCTTTTTCCGAGGGCTCACAGTCCCCTTACAAACTTGAACCACTGGAAGAAGTTTTAGATGGTGATGTATTAAACATACTGAAAGTAACTATGTCATTACCTAATTTGATGTTGAGATGAAAGTTCGTTCAAATGTTTAAATAAAATTACTTCTCTCTTTTAACAGAGATCAACAAAGAAATTATGAACTTGTTATCAAAATATGCTCACACTTTAAGGCAAGTTAACATTGTCCAATTTGTACAGCACCTTTCTAATTTCTCTAGATAAGGATCACTGTGGCTGCAGTTTAGACAGCACTGGAAAATATTGAACACAGATCTTGAAAGAAAAATGCTGTTTTCTGTTACAACAGAGAACTAATTTGGTCAGAAACTGAGCATTGATGGACAACACGTTTTTAAGAAAAGCATAAAAGCAGTTCTAAGTAGTGAGAAAGTTAATGGTGTTTGTATTGATTTTAACTACTGATTTTTTCAATTAAGTGAGAGAGCAGCGATGGATGCTTCTTATGTCCAAGAACTTGATGGAATCCTAAAGGAAGCGAGGACCATAGAAAACCACTTAAAGGAGAAAAGAGAGAGTCTGAAACAGAGATTCACCGTGATTGCAAATACTCTGCAAAGCTAAATAGAGCTTGTTAGATTGCAGAAATGCAGAGCAAAACTTGCAGTATATTTCATGAATTAAAATACAAACTATAATGAGTGCTATGATGCATGTTTCATAAATGGCTTATGTAAATGTTACTAGCAGTTCAGGAGACTTTCAACAACGTTAAGCAGCAACTTATGTTTTAAATAGATAGATACAATAGTAGGTAGTTAGTAAAAACCAGTACTAAATACTAGTAGAGATAGTTAGTAAAAACAATAGTAAATACCCATGTTAAATCCTATGACTCCAAGGGATACTACACATTAAAACATCTTTTTTTGTTGGCCCATCTCTTGGGCTGTCCCTGTGCTTCCATCCCTAGAAAATACTGGAAGCATTTAAAAAAGAAAGTAGAATGAATTTTGCATTGCTTGGCTTTAAGGCTGTTGAAGTTCAGTACAGCTGAATTCAGAAGCAGCCATGGTTAAGGATGGGTTTTTTCTTTTATTGTCACAACCAGTCTTGCTCTAGAACGTAGTAGAGAAACATTTCTATGAAAGAGAATTTTGCAATGTAAGTGGAAAAGGACCTCAGATTATTTCATATTAACCATTTTCTGGTTTTTTTCTTTCTACTTTAGAAAATGTGTTGGTGCTAAAATCATAGTACAATGTACTTGCACTCTTATTTCCATTTTGTCTCCGAATAGAAATAAATTGAAAAGAAAGTTTAGAAATAGGAGAGTTCTATTAAGAATACTGCTTTGGGAAATGTATAAAAGAGGTGTAAAGTCTTAATTTGAAAATATATTTTAATACAAAACCAAAGCCCTTTTGATATAAAAGCACATCATCAAAACTTTGCTGGTAATGTCCATAAATAACTAGATAATGTTAACATAATCTAGAATTACACTTCTCTTTTATTCTTTTTAGATACATCACTATTGTTTGCTGTATATCCAGTTTATTTAAGGATGCTTATGGAGGTTTAGGAGCACTTTTTCTTTCTTGTCATTTGACTGTCAAAAAAGATGAAAAATAAAATGTACAAAGCATCATTTGTGCAAATTGTGTGGCTAATGTAATAAAGTGCTAGATAGTTGGTAGCATAAGATATATTTGTATCTTTACCCCAGTACTGTGTATTAATTTTCTCTTTAAATCTTTTCAGATTTAATCAATCCTCTTTTCCCCCTCTTGTTAGATAAGTCACAAGTCACCTGTCAAACTGATAGTATTTAAAACAAATAACGAGAGAAACTGGACATCTAGGGAGAGATATTCCGAGGTATTTCGATACCTAAAGGTGCAGATATGTACTTAGTAGGGTTTTTCAAAGTGCCTAAGCATGTAAGCGCCTTAACACGCTCAGGCATTTTTGAATATCCCATAAGGTGCCTGTCTGCATCTTTAGCATCTAAAGACTTTAAAAAATCTCACCACTAGTCTACATCATATTTGCCTGTCTCTTACTTTTTTCCCTAATAATTGCATCTCATTTTGTAATCAGTCTTGGTAATGCTGTTTAAATAGAAGAAAGTGGGAGAAAAAGAAGATTTTGGAAGTTAAAATTTTCTAGAACATTGTGCTAAGTGTTTCTAAAATCTATGAGCATCTATAATAATGACAAAAAGCAGAGTTTTAAATTGTCATCTATGAAGTATCTGAATTTAGAAATTCACCTGTAGTTATTCATGTAAGTCTTGAAAGAAAAATTACACAAATTTAATTATTGTTAAATATTTGCCTGTTAGTGAAGTCAGAAGCTTTCTGCATTTTATCTCTGCTTGGGAAAATTATGCCACCTTTTTAGATCACCTGGAGTTAGATCATCTAGATTTAGTTTATGTGGCTAATATATCCAAGTTGCAAACCTTTGGCTCTAGTATTATTAAGAAACAGAACTTAGAAAACTATTGGATCATATAATCTTAAGTTTCTTCTCTTGGGAGATGATGAGGAGGGCACAGACCCATATTGTTACTTCACGGGAGTTTGCTCCATTTAAAAACTTCATAAAGTCCAATAAAAATGAGTAAAACTATAGTTAGAAGAACGAAGAACTGCTTAGTCTGGTGTTCAAGTGCAGTTAAATTCAAGGTGTACCTCTCTAAATGATGACTCTTGTTTTTCTACAGTGATTTCTTAAGCAGTTGGTTGTCATTGCATGTTATGATTTAGTCTGGGATCTTTGTGGTGATATGGGGATTTTAGAATTTTAGTCAGTAAGTATGGCCACAGTAACCAAGCTGAGATTATCAACAGTGTGGTTATGCTTATTAAAGGAAAGTAATTCATAGCTTGGTAAGATTTTGAAATAGGTGCTTTAAAAAATCAGGTTTCAATTGCTAAAAGCATCGAAGCTTCTGTTTTTGCTGCATGAATCTATGTGAGGATATGCATAAAAATAACTACCGACCAAGTAAAATGTGGAAAATACGTAGTTTTATAAAGTTCCAGCTTGAAATGGTAAGTTCAGAAATTTTAAAACATCAATTGAAAATAAACCAGACTCTTTTGAAGTTAAAAAATACTTCAGCGATGGAAATACCCACTTACTGTTTGTTTTTATACATAAATATCTTTCTGTTTAAAAGGGAGCCTTCCATAATTACTTTGCTGGTTAAAAATACAGTGTTTTTCTGTTGGCTGCCCTTCAGTGTTCTGCACAATGTCTCTATATATGGGAATACTCATTACACAGTTTTTCTTCTAAACCATTAGAAAATTTTACTGTTTTCCTATTTGCCAACAGTTTGTTTACCTTGCTAAAGGTATTTCTGCACTGATTGCCTCTCTCGTGGTATTGGGAGAAACAAACCAAATTTTTTACTCCCTCCTGATGTGAAACTAAAAACTCATTGATTCCATCTCTGAGGAATGAGCTACAGGTGAAATCCAGCTGGCACCCATCCCGTCACTGTCTGCTTTCCAGTTTTACTGAAAGAGGTTTGAACAGAAAATTAATTGGCTTTAAATCTGCCAAATCTGATAAGCAAAGCTCAGCTGTTAACTATGTTTTCTTTAAGCATCTCCTCCTGTTGTTTAAGCTGCAGTGCCTTAGTAAATTAACAAGAACATCTAAGGTGACAGATCAGTGACAATATAAATGGATTTTTTTTTTTTTTCCTTAAATGTGGAAACAGACAAAATTCAGACCCTCTTGAAGTCAATGGGATTTTTTGACAGTGACTGTCTTTTGAATTTCTGAGCTTGCTGGTACCTCCACAATCTAGAAAGTGTAAGTGATTAAAAACTAATACTCCATTCCTTTCATTGCTCTTTTATTATCTAAAAGCTAAAAATGGAAAAGAACAGATAATGCAGAGATAGCCTGGGTATTCAGTGAAGAGAATTCTTCCCTGAGAAAAGGCTAATTGTGACTTTATTTAAAATGAAACTGCATGTTAGTATAGATGTAGGAATGTGAATCACAGTAAAAAAAAGACCAAATCAAATATGGTAATAGATGTGTTTAAGGCTCATGACATTCTGTCTAGAACTCATCAGAATTCAGTTTTGCTAATCATAAAATATGCTTTGTCTTTGAAAACCATCAGGCAGCATTGGAAAAGAGCAGAGTGGGTGTTTTACATCATCAGGGTGAATAGCCAGAAAAAAGGAGGGCAAAGAATGATAGAGCAATCAGCCTATCTCCCATTCTGTAGAGAGTCTGAAGTAAATTTCCAAACAATGACTTTATAATCACTTGGGGAACAATAAATTGAAAAAAAAAAAAAAGGGGGGTGTGGGGGGGAATTCCCTTATCAGAATAACTGACTTAATACGAGAAAATGACAGATGAGGTATAGCTTGATGCAAGATAACTGACACCGTCCTGTATGATACTATATAAAAATAAGAGCAACCAGGAAGGGCCACATGAATGAGTCAATGAAAAGAATACTACTTTTTTTCTAAAAGGCCTAGATGGCATCCTACAGTGATCTGCTTCAAGCCTGTCTTATGCCATATTATCCTGAATGATTCAGAAGAAGGACATTAGAGCATAGAATTAATTTTTTGTATGACAGCAAGCTACCAGAGATCACAAATGCTCTCGATAGCACACATTGAAAAGTCACTGTCATCTCAATAATCTGAAATCAAGATAAAATTCAAAAAAGACAAGGGAAAAGCACTGTGCTTAGCAAGGGGAATCATATGTTACAGACCAGAACAATAGCTGGAGTTGGTATGATGTTATTGTGTGGTAAAAGCTGTGTTAGCTGTAGGGTAGCAGGGGAGACATAAAAGGATAATTGTTCTTTACTCTGTGATAGTTTGATCTTAGTTGGAGACGGGTCTGCTTATTGAAAGTGGGCAGAGTGGGAAACGGGAATAATAAAGGGTGAAGAAAACACGATCTGTGAGGCAGGGTTGAAGCAGCTGAGTTTGTTTAATTTAGAGAAAGCACAAATCAAGGGAAGGCATGATAACAGACGAGTTACAGAAAGGAGAGTAGTCGGGTGTTCACTGTGTCTTGTAGAAAGGACAAGAAGAAATCGGCAGATTTAGTGTGAGTAATTTGCAGCAGCGAATTTAGGATGAGTAATAATCTGTCCCATTTTAAGGACGGTGTAATGGGCTACCTAGAGTACTGTGTATTCTGCCTTGCTGTCTCTCAAAGGATAGGACAGATTTTAAGAGCTGTTGAGTATCTGCAAACAGCTAGCAGCTTCCTCTTGGCATCCTGAACGAGAGGGCCCAGCTAAGCTGGACAGAGCAGAGCATGGCCTGTCACTGGTCCTTCCTGGTCTAATCAGGTGTGGCAACCAGTATTCGCAAAGCCTTGAGATGCTTTGGGGTGCAAAATGGTTACTCAGATTTATGAAACAAAGAAAAAGCATTTTTGACAGGTGAAAAAGACAAGATAAAGTGATGAGACTTTTTAAAAGAATTGTCTTGAATCCTGACATCCTTAGTACATGGCTACATCTCCTCTTGTCCCCTTTCCTCCAATTTCTCCAGCTACAACTGGCAAGGAGTGCTAAAGCATTTTTCCCACCGATGGGAATGTCGTTGGAGCCCTTCAGCAGCTCGCCTGGCTCAGCTGCCGAGAGGGTCCCCCTCGCCCCGAGCGGAGCTGTGGGGCATGCAGTGGAGGCTCGTTCATCGTGCCCCGCGAGGAGAGACATTC